AATCTTATGCACCCAAATAAAACATAAATCATTATTTCAAAACATTCTGTTAAAAAAAGTTGAGTTCGTAAAGCATTAATTTAAAAAGAGTATATTAAACACTTTAAAAACTAAAAGTTGAGAATTATCTTTTTGAGCATATGAAATGACCGTGTAATTAGAACTCGTTAATTTTTTTTTATTCTTATTAATGCGAACTGTGTCAAGGATTATGAAGACGGAAATTACTGATTTTTTTATTTCATTTTATTTATTAGTTTTTTTTATGATCCTCTTAGAGCTGGTCGCAAAAGAAAAGTCAATTCAAAGAAAGATAACATTATATTTGAAAAACGCTTATTGGGTATATTTTCTGATTAAATTAATTATCTGTTTCTTCCTCTTTTTTTTTATAGAAATACGTAAAAAATATTATTTGTTCCGGTAAAAGTTGATCCCAGTTTGATATGAATATGTTATTTACTTTTCCTTTTAAGAGGGAATATTTTGAATATAAGATACTTAAAAGATATTTTAAGATATTTAATGCATATATTAAATATCATAGATATTTAAAAGAGCTTGAAATAAATTAATAATAAATATTAGATGTTTTTAAAAGCTTGTAAAACTGTTTTAATTTATTTTGACCATGTTAAATTATTCTTTAATATCAAAGAAGTCTTTAATTATATCTAGTTTGATATTTTCAGATATTTACTGAATATGAAAAAGTTGAATTAAAAATTACATATAATTTATAAATCATAAGCGTTCGGGCAAATCGTAAGGCTTTGGGATTTCGTAATTTTTAAACCATATGCTTGAAGTTTTTTTTAACAAAACGTTAGAATTAAATGTTCACTCTTCTTTTTACCAAAGAAATCATTTTTTCTTTAGCTTTAACTTAAATATACCGGATGTTAATGACTCAAATTAGAACAATGCAAATAATAAATGAATTCATTAAAATTGAAATGCTTTTTTGGTCCCAACAGTCTGACTGATGGCAAAAACTTTAAGCAGATAATTATATTCAATTATATATTTCAATGCCTAAAACAGTTTGTGTGCACTTATCGATTGATTTCTTAATGCTTAAAGTAGTTTGTTCGCACATATCGACTAAAGTGTTCTCAGCTTTTCAGGCTTAATTAGAAAAAAGAAAAGAAGAAGGGATATATTTAAATATTGCTTTCTAGACATTGTTTTCGTAGTTATTGTTTTGTTCTAGCTATTGTTTTCGGTGCATATTTTTTTACGCTGAATGGAAAGAAACCAATTTCAATTTGATAGGACTAATGGTTTACAAATTATCAAGACTAGATCTGAAAACAGTACAAATTTGACTTATATCTATTTGCGCATTTGGCTTTGCTATCTAGGCAAGTCAACAAAGTCGCTATGATTAATAGAAAGAGTCCAAATATTATTTTAAAAAATTTATGAACAAAAGTACAATTTTGTACTTACCCCAATATACATACTTGACACTGCTATATAGACAAGAGATGTATTGGTAATAATGAATTGTTTTTAGCATTTAATCGAATGACGTCAAAACCAAGTCTATAGAATCAAAAGTTTAAAAGTGATAAAAATTATAAATATTTCATGTGTATAAAGTACACATTTTACATTACTTATACCTATTACCATTGCTTATACCTGGTCTTACTTATACCTATTACCATTGCTTATACCTGGTCTTACTTATACCTATTTACACTTCTAACATTGCGATCTTTACAAGTAAAGAATTATTTCTTATGCAGCTCTTCTACATTAAATCCATTAAATTAAAAATTAAGGTGTTAGAACTAATCGCTGTAAAGAAATAAGTTTTTCATGCATGAAAATGATAAGTATCAATTTCTACCGCTTTTGGTTAAAACTCTTATACTGTCGAAACTATTATTTCTATTAAATTTAATTTAATTTAATTAAATTTAACTTGAAAAATATACAAGAAACAATGCACCACTTGTTTACATCGCAATATCAGACAAGTAAATAGGCATCAGTAAAGAATTATACATTTTGCTTGCAAAAACTTCTATAACATTGGAAGTATTAACCCGATCTTGTTTCTCTTGCGTTCGTTCGATTCAGTGTAAAGCAATACATAGGAATCATCGCCTCATTTGTCTAGATAGCAACATTTAAGTCTATCTCTTTTCACCTCCCTTACACCATGAACTCTATGCTAGAATATAATATGTCTCAATAACTTAAAATCATTTTCATATTAATTACTAATAATGATAAAAGTTTTAAGATAAGTGCACAATTTTTTTCTAAGCCGCTTCACTTTATAGTAAGTATAAGATTCGAACGATATATTTTTGTACTTCGTTAGTTAAAAAATTGATAATTTTTTATAAGAAAAAACTATCATAAATTTTTGCGAATGTAAATTTTAAAACTGATATCGCTAAAACGTAAAGTTTCAGCCATGTAATTGTATCGGGGTATAGTTCTAAAACTAAACTGTACTAAAATACTTGTTTCAAGAAATCTAATGTCTTGTCTTATTTTAAGAATTACTTAGTTCAACTTCACCTGGACACCTATAGCTAACTTCTATATATGGTTACATGTAAAGTTCTAGAAAAAGTATTTCTTAAGTATAACTAGACAATAAAGAAACAAACAAGTTCGTAATATTTTGTTTTCCTTTTTCTCATTATTGGAAAAAATTTTTATGTTCATTAATCGTGTCAAATTGATTCAGGATCTAAATGAGCGTATTTTCTGTTGAAAAAAAATTGCTTTGAATTATATTTTGTCTTTTTAATTTGTATTCTTAAATTGTTTAATCCAGTGAATATCAACGTCGATTGAATTCCTATAATTTCAATCATCGAAGTAGTATCAAATTAACAAAAAATAAAACAATTTCTTTCACATGGTAAGAGAAATCGATACTAGTTTTTTAATCAGTCGAATTTAAGAAAATATTTAAGTATTTTAAGTATACTCTAAGAATTATTTTGCTTAGTTTTATAATTTACACGCATAGCAATGACAAAAAATTTAGATTTATATAAAATAGTGCAATTTCTTTATTTGACATCGTATAAAAACGTAAATGTGTATTTTTTCGTTAAATTTCTAAATGTGTTTTATTTTAAAGAACTTTTATTCGACCAGTAGAAATAAAATCATTTTAAAAGCATTTATATTTTTGAAAAAGGAATTTCCAAAAATAAAGAAATTTATGATTAAAGTTATTGTTATGAACTTAATATGTTAAATATGAAGTCATTTTTATCAAACATTCTTTGTTTTATAGCAACAGAATGTAACGCATTAATTTTACTTACATTTTAAAAAAATTGTATATTTAAACATCGATTACTCAGGAATTATTCAACCGATTTCGCTCAATCCTTTTATTTTGCCATGTAAAATTAGATACTTTAAAATTAGGTATAAAACAGTATACGCTACTATTCAAAATTCTTTCTACTATTATTAAATAAAATAATAAATATTTACTAAAAGTTTTTTTTTGCATGGCATTATCTTTGGAAAAACGAATTTTATAATTTGCAAAATTTTTCAATTCGCTTAAAAAGCTCTCGAGATATAGCGAAATACGCAAAAAGTAAAATTAATATTAGGGGGAGAAAACTTATAAACAGCTTTCCTGACCAAACTATTAGAACCATATTTCCCAGATTGCGACTATTTTGGGTTCAGAAATCTGAATCCGTTAAAAAAAAGGTATGTTTATTCTATGAAAGTACGTTGTTGTGTCTGATTTCGTAACTTAAAATATCGTTTGCACTAATTAATTAGCATATTTTAGGTCGCCCCTCGAACTCTGGAAGATTGAGCCCTAGAAAGTGAAAATCCGATCATTCGATCAAAAGTTATTCAGGGCAATCCGTTTTTTTTCTTCTTTTTTTTTGGCACACTGTGCAGTGAGCCAAAAAAAAGCATACCACCTTGAATAACTTTTGATCTAATGATGGGATCCTCACGTTATTGAACTCAATCTTAATGGTTCGAGGGGATGAACTCAAATGTGCTGATTAGTTAATGCAGACTATATTTTAAGTTACGGAATCAGACACATAATACGGTATAAATAGACACACCGTTTTTGCGACTAATTCGAATTTTCGACCCCCACAATATAGAAAGTAGTCACTACCTGGGAAATATGGTCTCCCAGGTATGGTCCATAGTTTGATCAATAGAGCGATCCAAAGTTTGGACCCCCTAATGTAAATTTTCATGTGTACCGCTTTATGTGTCTGATTTAAAATGTCGTTCGCACTGAATAATTAGCATATATTAGGTCACCCTCTCAAACCATTAAGACAGAGTCCTAGAAAATGAACATCCCATCATAAGATCAAAAAGCATTCAGGGTGGTCTGTTTTTTTTTTTTTTTTTTTTTTTTTTTTTTTTGTGCACTGTACATTAATGTTGCAATTCAATATCCGTAACATGTAAAAACTATCGTTACAAATTTAATTGAATAGCCGACCAGTTGGCCGAGTGGTTAGCGTGCCTGACTGAGGTCGTGGGTTCGTGCCTGACCGATGGTCGCGGGTTTAAATCCTGCTCAGGGCAAGCATGTTTCTTTCTCTTTGTGTTCTTTCTCCTTTGTGTGTGAATGTGTGAATTTGACCCGCCCTATAAACGGTCTTGTGGTTGTGTGACGACGTGGGCGACGCTGCTCCACCGCCGTGGCTTCGCCACAGATGCCCACTGGGTAACGAGAAAGTAGTAGCAGTTCTGGCATTTTCTGAGGTCAATGGGTCTTCGTCCCAAGTGCCCGCCATTAAAAAAATATATTTGAATAACTCTTACGAAAATAAAGAAGGAAATCAACTGCCAGAAACGGATAAAAAAATTTACTTTAAGCTTAAAATTAATAAAAAAAGAATTTTAAAACACCAAAATAATTTGCATACAATATTTAATTTCTCCAATTTAGGATTCTTATCGATATCTTTAAAATATAAAATTGAAAATAAATATTATTAAGCAATAAAAAAGCAGTATTTCTTACAATATTTTTTTCTGAACATAATGTTATTAATTTATTTTGACTAAAATAAAAAATACAGTAAATCTTCCTTTATACACTTTGAATAAATCACGAAGTATTTCAAGATCTTTATTAGCTGTTCTTTTTTCTTTTTGTTCTAGTGTTTCATCCAGCAGAATCAGATCTATCATTTTTCATCCGGTGAAAGATGCTTTCGCAATTCAGGATAACTAATCATTCCATCATTATCATCATCATAAGCAAAGAAACTATCCACCACAGCTGCAATAAGAAAACCAAAATATCTTTCATATAATACAAATCAGATGTGTTTTCAAATGCTCGAGATTCTTTGAAATAGTTCAGTTAAATTTTTCACAATTTAATAAATTTGGAAATTCTAAAATTTTCAAAAAGGTAAAAGTTTAAAACAATATACCAAACTAAATATGAAAGCAGCATTTTTCTTTTTTTGCATGCAATTTTTATTTGGAAATTACAGACTAAACTTCAGATTGAATGAGATCAAACTCTCAGGAATATAATTCTAACTTTTGACGATTCCACAATCCTTGAGTTGCATTTCGTTGATCTTGAGAATCATTTCGTCTCGAATTCGCGTGATTTGTGATGAGACGCTGAACTCACAAATTTATGACGAAAATGTTTCTTTTACTCGTAACCTCATCGTAGTGCATTGTGGGAAAATGAAGAAACTAGAATGAAGACCAGACGATCGAAAAATAAAGCGACAAAATATGCCGACTAGATTACATGGCGATCAAGAAGTTGGCTTTATGTCAGGAAGATCCTGGGTACGAATCCCGCTTCGGGAATTTGTGTAGTTTGTCTCTCTGCTCTATCAGTTCTTCTTGTGTTATTATAGCGACTTAGATGGTAACCACCTTTATGGTAACCACGTGATGTTAACGTGTCTTATGGTAACCACGTGATGCTAAATGTTCGATTAATGAGGCACTAAAAAGCTATTTTTAAAATAAATAGAATGAGGAAATAGCTCTTTAATTTTGGCGAAATTCGTTTCCTCGAGGAAGTGATGATAGTTATTTCGACACTATGACGAAATGTTCGTTCGAAGCATATACCAGGACATGGTTTGGTCAAAAACGAACGTGTTATTTGAGTATCCATTATTTTACAATGAGCATAAGATCAAATAACTAAATATGTGCCAAAAATGAAAAAAAAAATAGGTAAAAGCTGCTACAAACGGAATAAGCAGCAAAGTTAGAAAATATCGTAAAAAGTTTATTTGTCTACACATAATAATCGTATTAATATCGTTCAGACTGCTCACAAGGTTGAAATAATTATCTGTGTTTACTTAAAGTAAGCTTGATTATGATGGAGATTTTTGACAGCATTTGCATTACAATAAACGCGACGCTAACCATGCTTTTTACACTTCAACCATTTTGCGATTTATAGAGAATTTTTTACGTATGCGCTGTCAAGCTTTCAAATAGCGTTAAATATAATAACGCTCGTAAAATAAATAGCTGTACTAAATACCATTTGTAAAACAAGTATGAAATTTTCCTTCTATAGAATTTCAAAACTAACTTTGTGGTGTGCAGTTTTTATTCTCTAAGGGTACTGAATTGGAGATTGATCGTTCTCAGATTCAGGTTAAAATTACGATCTGTTAATGAATGACTGATTGCATGAATGTGTCCCTCCTATAAACGGGTTGTAACGTATGCATGTGGCAGAAGTTAAATTCTTGTTCATAGATGGCGCCACTGGAAAACATGAAGTAGCGCATTCCCTTTGCCTTTATGGCATACGACAAAAACAACAACACAACTTTTATAGCTGAAAAAAGCATATCAATGCAAAAAATATTAGTGCAAAATAGAAATAATAAAATTAATTCCCAGTTTTTTGGGAAATACGGCATTTTTTGAATTTTTTTTTATTTTAGCCTAAAAAGAGAGATTTAATGAAGAAATCTGAAAAATAATTCTTTGAAATTAGTTTTGATTAGCGATAAACTTTTCAAGGGATACCCATATACTAAATGCTTTTCCGTGGTAGCTGGACTATATTTTCGAAATATCGGAAAACATTTTCCGTAATGTTTAAGACAATTTTCAATAGTGATATTGAACTTAAAATGAAACTAGTTGAAATTCTAATAGTTAAAACTCAGCAAATACATATTTCCCAGTAAAAAAAGTAAACTTTCGTTAGTTAGATTATTTAAACTAAGCATTTATGTTTACTGGAAGATTCATTCGAATTTAGTTATCAACCAAGTTATTTAGTTCGACACTTTCGCATAATTCCTCGCTACACGGAAAAACTCCTGGGGAATAATACTAAAATTTACAGTATTTAAATCATTCATTTGGTAATTTTTCCGTTTATATAGTAACGGTTTACCGAAAATTGTAGTTCTTGTGGTTTCTTGTCTGCAAATTTTGGTATACCGGATGTTCTTATTATCCCACATTTAGTAAAATAAATGCAAAACTGAAAACTAAAATAAACCAAACAAATTATTTTTATGCCGTGCTCTAAGAAACCATGATAAAATCACAAATCAAATTTTATCTCATTTAATATAAATTTAATCACATTCTATAAAACAATACTTTATAGTTAATTTTACCAAAAACATTTGACAGAGCTCTTCAGTAAAACTTAACGAGCGTTTTGGTGTTCCCTTAGAAAAATATAGACCTTTTTAGATTTTGTAGAAAAATATTGTCTAATGATAACAAGGGTTTTTTAATGAAACAAATAAGAAAAATGCATCACAAAATATAATTCAAAGCGTCGAATTTAAGCGTCTTAAAATAAAATTAACGACTTTGTAAAAGCTTTTCGAATTCATATCAAATCTAGTTATATCCAACTGACCAAAAGTATTTCAGAAGCTTAATCTAAAAACTAATTCCTTTTCAGATAGCTTTCTAGCTACTCATTATTTATACTCATTTTTTTATTTCATAAACAGAAAAATAAATAATCAGAGATAAATCTTGACTGTCAAAATAAAAAATGAAAAACCATGGATGAAAGATTTCTGAGAAGAAAAAAATGGTAAAAGTGAAACTTAAGCCTTTTATTTTTGCAAAACTTCTATCTCTTCTACTATTTCTAATTTTGGAATTAAAAAAGAGAAGAATCATTCAGCTTGAAATATTTTCAAACAGCTTCTTTATATGTTAGGACTTATCTTTCCTTCTACGACTGTCACTGTTTAAAAATATCACTAAGATTTAATAAATTTGTTCCTCGAAAATCAGTGCTAAAAAAAGTAAGGAATGAAAAACTAATTTTAAAATATTTTAAAAGAATTTTTGTTTTATCTAATTCCTTGTACTCAGTACTTATTGAGTTTTGTAAAACCTGCTTAAATTCCATGTTTTTTTTTAATATTTTTGTAACACCTTTTCACGTTAGTTTATTTACAAACATTTCATCTTTTTTGATTTAAAATTTGCGAAGTAATCTATAATTTTTAATTTCGTAATCAGTTAAAATTAAAAAATTNTAAATTCCATGTTTTTTTTTTAAATATTTTTGTAACACCTTTTCACGTTAGTTTATTTACAAACATTTCATCTTTTTTAATTTCAAATTTGCGATGTAATCTATAATTTTTAATTTCGTAATCAGTTAAAATTAAAAAATTAAGAGGACACTATACTACGGGAGGCGATTTACGAATCTAGCGGTTTTTAACGATTGACTCTTTTGCTTGGTATTTTTTTAAATAAAGAAAAACATGATTTTTGGCTTCTTTTTTTTAATTCAGGTAACAAGTTTTCAATGAATTTTAAGCTTGCGTAATAATAAAGCCGAGCTATAGAGCGAGTCGTTAAATGTCGTTGGATTGTAAAGTGACTTACGGGAGAAACTTTTCATGTAAAATTCTGTTATATCTTCATTTTTGTTTTAAAATTTAAAGCTTAGAGAAAAGTGACTTCAGGAAACTCAAAGTAAAATATGACACTTCAATTGCTGAAAAAATGTTTTCAAAATATTAAAATGAAAGAAAATTATCGCATGATAATTTGAACGATGCATAATCCTGAGTAATCCCACCGTAATTTGTTAGCCTTTTGACGTTTTAAATTTTTTTTCAGCATTCACTGTAAAAAATTCCGGATCAAATTACGCTTTAAAGTACAGAATCTCAGGGTGCCTATACTTTTTACCGTAAAATCCTTTTTTATCCGAACATGTTACGCTATAAAAAATCTGATATACCGTAATTTTTACAGTAATAATTACAGTATAATCACAGAATCATTCTTATTAAATAAGTATTACCTCAAAAATTACGGAATTCTATTTTACGAAAAAATGGATTTTACGTATGATTCACCGTAAGTGCCGGTGCTTTACACCGTAATTTGATCCGGAATTTTTTACTAGTGTTTGAAATTTCGTGTTATATAACAGGGGTTTCCAACTTATATCAGGCCGGGGGCCACAATTAAAAACACAAATCAAATGGCGGGCCTCAACTTTATCTTAATTTTATGTAGGACTCTTTTATGTTTGAAGGAACATTAAATAGTAATGGTAGATTTTTACCAAGTTGTACAAAACAAAAGTATTGATTGAATTGCATATTAAAACAAGAAGTAGATTTTTAAAAAATATTTAATTGTTATTAATAATATTCTTAAAATATTAAATAAATAATAAAATTTCGGGCTACAATAACTTTAATGTGCATCTATGTATTAAACAATTAATGTGCAACAGATATATAATTGTTAAGGTATAAAACTTTAGAAAGGTTGGTAATAAAATTTATATAGTATCACACAAAATATTCAATGAGAAAATTGAGGTTTGTCTGCGGCAACTATCAGAGAATAGATATCTACATTTTAAATTAAAAATTGAAAAATGTGTATGTAAATATTTTCGTCCAAAATGAGTGGTTTCAAAAAGTTAAATGGGAAAATTTCTTCGAGAAAATTTCTGATACGCATATGCTAAATTATGTTCACAAAATAAAATAAAAATAAAATAAAAAAGAGCAACATATACGATTATTTTTGTATTTTAAAAAAATATTTTCATTGATTCAAAACCTGAGAAATAAATTTTTTTGCGTTGGTATGTTAAATTTCACAGAAACGAAGAAATTAGGTTTTTATTAACGAGAAAAGTGGAGTTTTTACCATATAGTTTTACGAAAATTAACCGCCAAAAAGTGACAACTAATGTAATTTTGTTCGCGGGCCACAAAAAAAGGCTTCGCGGGCCGGATGCGGCCCTCGAGCCGCCAGTTGGAAACTCCTGTTACACAAGATATAGAGTAATATAGAGGGCATGTTGTTCAAAAGCATATGTTGTAGTTCAGTATGTTGTAGTTTGTCATGTGTAACTAAGACTAAAATATGGGGAAACATATTGAAAAAAGAAGTATATCATTTATGAATGGTCTCTAAATGGAAACAGTCTTATAAGCAGTTTTGTGAATATTGCATTATAGTTTCATGTTTTGCATGATTTTGATTGTTTTGTTCAAAACGTCATTTAATCTATTTGAACCTACTAGTACATTTAAATACCCACCTTCTTTTTCTGGGAATTCCATTTTTGAATCCGATGAATGTTCTAATGCGTGACCCATGGCTGCCATGAGCTCGTGACCATCTAATTTCTTATTGTCGTCGAAATCGTGCATCCTGTGGCAAAATAGAGATGATCACACATGAATTTAAAAAAAACTCATTGCTTAAAAATATTGTGTGAACTGCATTGATAATTCAATTATTATAAATCTAGTCAATTACTACAATTGTAATAAACAATGAGATGCTAGCTTGCTATAATTTTACATGAGGTACTTTGTAAAAATATGAGAAAGAAATCATTCTGGTTAAAAGGTTCTATAAAATAGAAACTATGAAATAATCCAATTGCTACTTGATGCATCTTGGACAACAGTAAAGCATGTTACATCGTAAACACATCGTCATTAAAACACATCGTTATATCGTCAATAAAGGTTTGAACATTTTCACAGCAAAGTCATAATCCATGTTATTATCTGAAGCATATTTTAGATTAATTCCGACTAAAATTAAAATTACTCTAATAAATAAATTAAATAGTTAATACACTTTCTACATTCATTATCAAAAACATCCTACTCGTATATAACTTAGTAGCTTTCAGATCTTACTTCAAAGTCACTTTCCTAATATTTCGGCTCATATAGTAAGTGGTACGATAACTCTTTTTTTTAAAGAAAAATATACATGTTATCATAAAAATTCGTTTGGCGAAAGTCAATGTTTGCATACCATCAATGTCGCACCAGCAATGAAAATTTAGTGATACAATAGGATCATCTAGTTATTCATTTAATGGTCCAAAAAATTAATATGGTAAACAAACTTCAGAAAAATTAAACTTTACAATTACATAATTCATGTTATGGTACACATCAAAAATTATTGATTGCCATCTGTATTATCCTAAAAATAATAGGTTCATTAGCCCATAATGATCGAAGATTATTTGTTATTGAAATCAAGTGTAAAAAAGCTAAAATAATATTAGTAAATATATTCATAATAAAGATTAAAATGCTGAGACCAAATAAATAAATAAATGAAGAAAACAAAGAAAGTAAAAACTAGCAAAATATTATACTAAATATTAATTATATAAATATTATAATATTTTAAATAAAGTCGATTTTAAAAAAGCTAAAAATATTACTTTATTAATGAAAAATTTTACTGCCAGTACATGAATGCAAAGCACAACATGTAAATTTGAACATTTAAAGTTAAAAATCTTTTTAACAAACACTTAAAAATGGTACGACAAATTTTTTTCAAATGCATGGAATACGATCCAAAAAAACTAATTTTCGTTACTATTTTTGTAAATAGCAAATTTTCAAGACGACAAATTTGTCGCCCTTGCGTATGATTTTAGCGATATTTGTAGAACATTTGGCGACAATTGTCTCCATGTCGCCCTACTGGCGTGGACCCTGGGTGAATACTTGAAATATTAATTAAATCTCATGATAATACACTATTTTCTTATTACTATTTTCAACTAATATTTCAGACTATTTATACTATATTTAACAGATTTTTGACCGGCAAATGTCGACCTTCTACACATTGTCATATAGTGAATGTTGCCAATATAATCCTGCCATGCTGGATATTTATGTTTAATTTCTATGAATTGCACTTTTATCGCAAATGCGTTCCATTTTAGAAAAAAACAAGAATTTCACCATAATTTTAAAAATACGACACCAATAGAATTTTCTACTTTTCAATGGCCGCAGATATACAGTGTGTCGTACAATTAAACATGATTAAAATTAATGTAAATTTACAATTTATCGCTTAGCAGTCACTACTTTTTAGATAACTTATATTTTAAACAGTTTTTATTCAAGATTTTGTTGATCTTCTATGTAATAGAGAAAGATGAGTTGAATAATTTACCAACTTAGGAAACGAAATGCATTTTTAATCAGCGTTAGTATATTACTATATTCATTTAAATATTCATATATTATTTAGAATTAATCTATTCAATTTATTTCTACGAATAATAATACTGAAATGTATTTTCTTTATTCTAGTTCTTTATGTATTAATTCAGTAGCAAAATGGTGCACAACAAAAAATACAAAAAAAGCACACCTGAGGAAATAAAATAGTGCTTCATTTGTAGAAATCTCTCCTGTATCTTGTAACTTTGAAATCCTTTGTACGTCACTTTTAATATGGCTGAAAGAAATAAAATTAAATATATAAGTATAAATTTTATTCACAAATTAAATGAGTAAAAATGAATAAAATAAACTGAAAAAAATATAGTCAAAACTACCAGAATATGGGATCATTTACCGTGTTTCTGGCTCTATAGAAACACCATAAAACTCTGTAATTTTTAAGAAAGTGATCTTCTAATGATTTTGGTAAAAATAAACACTAAAATATGGTTTTGTAATATGAGTTAGAGATTGGTAAGTGTGGAAAAATTCCGTTTCTTATTCATGGTATCTTAGAGCAGTGTCTCCTAAACTTATGTCTTTTGTGTACCTTTTCTAAATTTTTCGTAACGCTGTGTACCACTAATAAAAAAATTTATGTACTTCTTACTATGAAAAATTTGCACAAAAGTTAAAAATCATAACTAGCTGTTGACACCACTGACTATTAACTGTTAACTCTGCAAAAAATAGCTATTAGAAAAATACGTTATCGTAAATTTTAATGACTAGCTTTGTTTTTAAATAAAAAAATTTGAAATTTTCGTTCTTTGCAAGATATTTCGCATAAGAATGCGGACTCCCTAAAAACTGTTCCCTTACCCCTGGGGGTACGCATACCACACTTTGGGAAACACTATTTTAGAGCATGGTACAAAAAATCATTTATTCGGTTAAATTTACTTTACAATTTAGTATTTTGTTTTCTGTAAATGTGGTTATAAGAACTATAATTTTGAAAACCAGAATTTTCGTTAAACCTTTACCACATGAACGGAAAAATTACCGAATGCATGACTCAAATACCGTATATTTTGGTTTTATTAACCAGAATCATGTTTGTTTGTTCTTTTTACCAGAAATGTGCTTACCACACAGTACGTCAATTTTATCAGATTTTTTTCCCCGTAAAATCTTTTACTTTTTACATCAGTACTAATCTTAACTAATACTACCTTCGAATAAAATTTTTATAACAAACAAAATTTCCCCTAGAGAATTTATAAAAGTGATGATCCTGTGTTTTCCATTCTAAAAATGACAAAAATTGAACTATTTTCTATCTAATTATTTCCTATCTATTATTTTCTATTAAATTCTATCTATTCAATTATAGTCCACTTGAGTTCTATCTATTCAATTTCAGTGAATTATTTTCTATCTATTCAATTATAGTTCATTTGAAAAATTTAATTTCCAAATATTTATTTTACTTTATTAAAACATTACCCTATCATACCTACACTTAATTCCAACATTTTGTATTAATTCTTCTACTACTTATTATAGCTGAGCAGTTTTTCTTTACCAAACACGCAATTTGAGAAAAATCTCTCATTATTTTTTTTAAAGGATACTGATAGCGATGATTGGCTGATTTCAAATTGCTCAAAAGCGTTATGAAACGTAAGTACCCGCATTTCTAGCTTAGTCTTTTTAATACCCACATGTTTACCCTATATGGTAATCATTATTTCGATTTATTTTTCTGTTTCATACACTTCAGATGTGATGATACTTTAAGCTATTTCATAAGAGCCAAAATCAATTGTTAGCTACAATTTTAATTAAGTGATTGATTGGAAGAATGTCATGAATAATTCTTTGAAGATAAAAGAAAATTTACGATACATTATTTATTGGCTGTGATCGTTTGGGTTTCTCAGAACTTTTTTATTTTTATCAACGTATTAATCAATAATTATAGCAAAAGAAATGACGTTTCTTCTTAAAAATTAATACCAATATGTTATGTTATTATAAATTATACTTAAACACTCCATTATTCTTCTTTGTACGCTGCCTCATCTTTTTGAGGAAAAGGTAATTTGTGGTAAAAATTGAATTTTTTTTAAACAGGCAAAGTAAGGCATTATTTCCGATTTTTCTCTGAATTTTTTGAATTTAATCTCGTGATGTCCGGTGTACTAGAAGTCCGGACTAATAGTTTTCTAGTTATAAAAGAATTTTTGTACAAAACGTACGAATTTTTAGTTGTAATCTGGCATTATTATCTAAAAAAAGTGAGTAATTGTTTCCTGCGTAATATGTACTTTGAATCGAATGAAACTATACACAGGTCCATAGAATGAATAGTTGAAAAGTTTCAATTAATTCTAAGAATAGAAAGTACTATTTGACTTAGTACACTTTTTACTTTATTATTTAAGACTATCTGAACATGTAAGATGTATTTTCCGATGCAACTTTTTATATTGCATTTAATGACATAAAATTGGAGTCGGTAGGATTAATAATTTTGAAAAAAAATATATTTTATTTTTTTATCTAAATATACAAGTTTAAAGGCGTTATATATAACAGAATGTTGTATAATTGAGATAAACTTCTAGGGATGTTTTTTTATTGCTTTATAATCGTCGGTGAACAGTCGAACCATTTTTTGGATTTACGCCTACCAATGTTCAACTCCGTAGCCTCGTAATTTTGAGCCCAATCCGGAAGACAAGGGAGCTCCTGAATTAAGTATTGGGAGAAATTTGCCTTCGTGGAGGACTTTCTGAGGGAACTAACCCGCATTTGCGTTATATGGAAAGGAAGACAAGAGAGCCTCCCACGGTTAGCCTGATGGCAAGGGGACTCTAACCCATGGCGGTCTACCACTGAGGATATTGCACGTCAGCACTGTGGTCGGTGCAAGCGAGATGCGGAATTTGTATCGACCAGTCATCGCCGGGATCGAACCCGGTTCACCTCATTGAAAGGCGAACGCTCTATCCCCTGAGCCATTGGGCTCGTATTCTAGGGGTGTTTGAGCTCATCAGCAATAAAACTATGCAGATTAACCCATACCCGGTATGTCACCATAAGCACACGAAGAAATAGTCCATAATAAGGAAGCGCAACTAGCTGCAAATGACGACAATGCCGGGTATGGTTTCGTATGGAACTTTAATCCTGATTAAGTGCCCTAACTCCCCTAGAAGTTTGACACGACATTTAGACGACTCTCTTCACATATATAATTTTTAAACTTGTATATTTCGAGAAAAAATAGACAAAAATGTCATTTAAAGTCACTGCTGCTTAGAGAGAGAAACCGCTATCAGATATTAAATCAACAATCAGGGATTTGTTAAGAAATCTTATTCAACAGAAAACAAACAACAACAGAAAATTCTACCCAACTATAATCAGCTTAATTAAGAAAAATATACCTAAGATTTTATAAGTATACTTTTTTGCTCAACAAAAAAAAATTTATACGATTTTTCTATAATCAGGCAATAAGAAATTTCTGAGATATGCTGCATTTGAATGACACTATACATTTCCGTTTTTTAACAAATCGCTTGATAGATTGCGGCTGAAAACTTTTATCACAGTGTCAATCAGTTAATTTGATTTTTTTTTCTTGTGAAACTCGTTTTTTGAGTTATGCGTTCGTCATTCATCTGCTAATTTTAATCAGCACAATCATTGCAAAGAAGATATGAGAAAAAACCGAAGCTTGGTGAAATTCGTCTTCTACGCTGTAAAAAATTTTGAATCAAATTACGGTATGAAGTACCGGCACTTTGAGTACATCATCTTTAAAATCCATTTTTACCGTAAAATATCATTCCATAATTTTTATTTATTTTATATTATTTTTATTTTAGAAATATTTATTTCATTGGAGTGATTTAATGGTAATTACTGTAAAAATTACGGTATATCAGATTTTTTGTCCCACAAAATGTTCCCGTATAAAGGAATTTTCCGGTAAAAAGTATCAGCACCCTGATTGCCGGTATTTTTTTCTGTAATTTGATCTAGAATATTTCATTCTAGCATTATTACAGAGAAATTTTCGCATCATTTAAAATGAAAAATATTCTATACTATAAAATTATAATATTTTATTTCAATTAACTCTTATATTTATATTGTATATATTATGTTGTACATTTATATGTTTTTAATATATTTGTATATTTATATATTATATGTTTTTAATAATATAACATTATAATAATAATATTTTTTGCCTGGATAAGGTTAAGCCGAAATCTAATCATAATTTCTGTCGAAAGGAAATACCTTTTTAATGCATTTAGCTGAGCCTAATCTTTCAGAGAGTGCAAAATTGCACAATATAATACCTATATTAGATTTTACCCCTTTGACGAATAATATTTATAAAGCATAATTTTCCTTTTTTTAGTTATTTTGTATTAATTTAGGCCAAAATAATTAAAAATATTATATTCTGCATTTTAATAATTTATGATTATGAATTAAAGCATGAAACACCGGTATCTTTCTCTGCGCTAAAGGTAAAATCTTTAGATCTATTATTAAATTATTTAGATCTGAGAGAAACAGTTATTCATGATTGAAATGTCTTTAGTTTACAAAAATAAATTATTGATAAATTTTTAATTAAGGATGAAAAAAAATCTTTTTTATCGCAACTTTATTTGGATTCTATATTTCAATACAAATATAGTTCTGATAAATTCACAGAGTTTTTTTACTAACTATTAGACTTTTTCTTATCAATAAAAAATAACAACATATTTGCTTGCAATTAAAGCGTCAGAAAAAAGCACATAAAAAGGACAACGGTTTCTCTTCTGCGTGAAAGGATTAATAATTTAACATGATAATAATTAATTTTTGCCTTGGTTATGTTAAGCCGTAATCAAATCATAATTTATTACGTCTGTTGAAAGGAAATGCCTTTTTTAATGTATTTAGCGGATCCTAATTTTTCAGATAATGCAAATAAAATTCACAATTAAAGGCACCTATATTTGTTTTTAATTATACATTAAATTGCTGGACCTAATTTGCTAAATTGACAAAAATTGAGTTAATTATTTCCAATAAAAAAACATTTGAAAAGCAAACTTTTATTTTCATATAATCTGCACTCAAAAAATTTTTCGAACACTGTAGTTATAGCAGGGCCTTGAATTTTGTTGGGATAGCTTAGAAAATTAATAACAGAGTATTCTTATATGTCCTAATGAAACATTTGAAAATCTAGAAATGTAATTTGAAAAACTAAATTCTAAATAAAAAACTGGAGAAAAAGGTTTCTAAATGTCATACAATTATAACTTATTCATAAAGTAAAGAATAACAGTATAGTTCATTTAATTATAGTTTTATAGAATAGTCAAAATTTTGTTTAGGTTCCAGTGAAATATTGGTATATTAAAAAAAATAATAATTCCAAATAATAATTATCCAACACTGATAAAAGTATATAGGGGAGAGTCGGGTTGCCCTGCCCACTTAAGGAGTATTACTTATATTTCTGTATAATATTCAGTAATAATCAATATTTTTGTATGTTTCTATTGTTTTATCATCTAATTATATAATGCATGAAGAATAGTTTAACTTAAAAAAATAGAAATTTAAAAAATTTGACTACTGTAATCAACGTATTTTTAAAACTATTGTTTACCATGTTACCAACTCTGCATAAATACTTGAAACTTTGAAATAATCTTTTTTTAATATAACAATTAATGTCCGATGGCCCATTGACTTGAAAAAATATTTTATACATATGAAATTGACAGGGGGGGGTACCCGACACTCCCCTACCTCTTAGAGGTTAAATATATGCGTGAAGAACAGCATTAAAAGCGTAATAAAAAATATTTGAAAATTGTGTTTCGTAAAATTAAAAATACCAATAAAATAATGAAACAAAAAAAAAAAGAACTATTCATAAGCGTTAGTCATGTCATTTTATAGAACTTTTTTTTTATATTTCTAAGAAAAGATCAGTAAATTCTCATATTCACATCTCTTAATGAAAGAATTTTGCGAGTAGATGATCTGTTTAATGATATGGTGACGTCAGCATAAACAAGCTTATTCAGAGTCTGATTGGTTAATGAATCTAAAAAAAAAGTTTCCTCTCAACATTTACTTACTCTAAATCACGAATGATGTCAGCAGCGCCCCATCTTTTTCGAAGTTCTTGCAATTCCGGCGAAATGGCTCCTGGGAAATCAGGACGCACATGACTCAACACCAAAGACAATAACATTAAGATAACTAAAGAACGAAAACTATGATGCATCTTTAAAGAACTAAAAGTAAAATTGTAAACCAAACTAAATATTTAAATGTATCTACGATGTAAATTTATTTACGAGGAAACATAAACCCGCATGTGTTACGGGGTGGCGGTGTAAAATCAGTGTTCAGCAGCAGACACCTACGTCACTAATGATCACAGCTGATAAACAGTTCAGATGATAAGAACCACATTTCACTGAATACATAACGCGCCGGCTGTAAACGAATACTTAATTTTTGTTTTAAGGCAAATTAAGAGGTACTATTGATTACAACATATAAGCATTGTGTTTAAAAACATTATCTTCTATAATGCGTATAATAAACGTTAGTAGTAACGTTTAATAATAAACGTTCATTTAATAAATTTTTCTCACCTATTTTTTTTTTCATTTATTTATTTCAAAACAATATTTTTTTTCTTATTTTGAGATCAAGAAATGCATTGATTCCTTCATCTCATTCTTTTCTTTTAAATAACGTGCCGGCTGTAAACGAACAATTAACTTTTGTTTTGAAGCAAATTAAGAGGTATTATTGATCACAACTTATAAGCATTATGTTTTAAAACATTGCTTTGCATAATGCGTATTTTGTTTAATAGTAAACGATTATTTAATAACTTTTTCTCACCTATTTTTTACTAATTTTTGTTTCATTTATTTATTTCAAAATAAGCATCAGAAAAAATAGGTAAAAAGGAAATTGGTTTCTCTTCTGAGTGAAAGAATTAATAATTTAACAGGAAAATAATTTATTTTAGATATAACATGAAAATATTGTATTTAGATATAACCTAAGCTCTTACAAACAATGTAATTATAACAGGGCTTTGAATTTCGTTGGGATAGCTTAGAAAATTAATAACAGAGAATTCCTACGTGTCTCAATGAAATGTTTGAAAATCTGGAAAAGTAATTTGAAAAATTAAATTCTAAATGAAAATCTGAAGAAAAAAAGGTTTCCAAATGTCATACAATTATAAACTTATTTATAAAGTAAAGAATAACAGTATTTAATTATAGTTTTATAGAATAGTTAAAATTTTGTTTAGGTTCCAGTGATATATTGGTTTATTAAAAAAATTGTTTGTTTTTCTTATTTTGAGATCAAAAAAATGCCTTGATCCTTTAATGTCTCTTTGTTTTTTTAAATAACGTGCCGGCTGTAAGCAAATAATTAATTTTAGTTTTGAAGGAAATTAAGAGGCATTATTGATTACTACATATAAGCATTATGTTTTAAAACATTGTGTTTAATGCGTATTATGTTTAATAATAAACGTTCACTTAATGACTCTTTCTTCTTTCTCACCTATTTTTTGTTTATATTTGTTTCATTTATTTATTTCAAAACATTGTTTGTTTGTTTTTTATATTGAGATCAGAAAATGTCTTGATTCTTTAACTTCGCTCTGTTTTCTTAAATAACATGGTGGCTGTAAACGAATAATTAATTTTAGTTTTGAAACAAATTAAGAGGTATTATTGATTACTACATATAAGCATTATGTTTTAAAACATTGTGTTTAATGCGCATTATGTTTAATAATAAACGTTCACTTAATGACTCTTTTTCCTTTCTCACCTATTTTTTGTTTATATTTGTTTCATTTATTTATTTCAAAACATTGTTTGTTTGCTTTTTATATTGAGATCAGAAAATTTCTTGATTCTTTAACTTCGCTCTGTTGTCTTAAATAACATGGTGGCTGTAAACGAATAATTAATTTTTGTTTTGAAGCAAATTAAGAGGTATTATTGATTACAACATATAAGCATTATGTTTTAAGACATTGTGTTGTATAATGCGTATCATGTTTAATAATAAACGTTCATTTAATTAACTCTTTCTCACCTATTGTTTATTTATTTTTGTTTCATTTATTTATTTCAAAACATTGTTTTTTTTTCTTATTTTGAGATCAAAAAATGTTTTGATTCTTTCATTTCTTTCTGGGTTTTTTTTTATTCATAAACAATATCAAAGCTATTATATTTTTAATTTACAGTCATGGGAGTTGTTAGAGGGGACAATGGGTATAAGTCCCCTTTAATAATTCGAAATCTCTAAAAGACTGTACTATATGAATGAGATTATACACAAGTGAACAGAATGAACAGAAAAGATGCAATTGTTTTTATGTGAAAAATGTACTATGGCGTGAGTGAGTGGACTTTTTACTTAGCTATTTAGGGACTATCTGAGGTGCAATTTCAGATTAAATTTTTTACATCGAATTTACTGAGATGAAATTCGAGTTGATGGGATTAATAGTTTTGAAGTTATAAGGGTTTTCTTTATAATAAGTGCAATCCAAAAATATCCTGCCTCACTAATTTATTTTATAGCATTTAATTTATTCGTTTATTTATTTTGAGATCGAAAACTTATTTCTTCCATTTATTACTGTTTTCTTATTCATAAACAATATCAAATCAATTATATTTTTAATTCATATCCCAAGTTATGGGGATCGTTGACGAAGGGGATGGTGGTTATAAGTCCTCCTCAATAATTCGAAATCTCTAAAAGTCCCCCACAGTATTTCAGAAAACTAATGAGAATTTTCACGAATTATCATGGATTTAAATTTCTTAAAGTTAAAAGTAAGAAAGAGATTAAAAAATCTTTTTGCGGGTATTTAGTAAATTTAAGATTTTTTTTTCTTATGGGAGAAAATATTCTGACTGTGTAATTTGATTGCGTCCTCCTCGAAAATTGCATCCCTGCGACGCCCCTGCCCAAATTTGTAGCTTAAAAGAAACATCAGGTAAATTTACTATAAATAAAAATCTATTACCTCATTTAAAGCTGACATATGATGATGTTTATTTTTATTCCTAATGTTCAATAAATTTACAGAAGAAATTTAAAAGTCATTAAATCAAAATTTAAACACATACGTCACCAACCAACCTATAAAAGCAAATTTCTCCTCCAAGATTAATTTATTATTAAATAAGTGTCAAAATCAAAATAAAAGAGGTAGTATACAAAAAAGCAGTTTAAGCATGATTGCTAAAAGAAAAAGTAAAAAACTTAAGCCAGAAAGGGAGCTTCAGAGATTCAGTCAAAGCTTTGGTACTCATTTTATTTAATTATTTATTTATTTATCTGTATTTTACTGTTTAAGTATAGAAAATTACTACATTCTTATTTTCGGTGTAAAGCATAAAGTGAGTTTCAAATCATCCACATTTTAAAAACTATTGCAGCTAAACAAGTTATTAACTAAATAGCGTTTTGATATTGCTTATTTTATAATAAAAATTAATGAATAAATAAATAAATAATAAAGAAAATAACATCTATAGAATTGAGAACACCTTACTTAGAATTGCTTTCTCGAAATAATCTATTCTTTTTTCTCAATTTTAAGCATTTTATATTAGAAAAAATAACGTACATGAAAACACCTTGGGTTACTAATTGTTCTTAAATAAATAATAAACAATACGTAGAAAACTAAAAAGTAAATCATGTATGAACTATGTAAAATAAATGAATAATTAAGTTAATTGCTCATAATATCAGTCATTTAATGTTAATTTATGTTCCCCCTTCGAAAAATCAGTAGCTCATTTTCAAGGAATTTTATGTAGAAAAAAAAATCCGGTAAAATTACAGTACTGCACTATTCTTATTAAAAGAAAAAAACATGATTTTGCTTATAAAAATCAAAATGTACTGTATCTTAATCATTCATTTGGTAATTGTACCGTTTATATGGACAAAGTTTACTGAAAATTCTGGTTTTTAAAGTTAGAGTTCATCTGATCACATATTTAGTTCAAGAAGACAAAACTGAAGTGTAAATTTAACTAAATGTATGCCATGCTCTAGGGTATCATCATAAAATTTCTAAATTTTACCACAAATTATAAAAACATATTTCACTGCTAATTTTACAAAAATCATTGCCAAAGCGTTTCCATAAAAAAATACCTTTTGTGCAGTTATCGATATGAGATTTATGAATATGATAAAAATAAAGGCATTCTCAGAACTTAACATAATACAAGTTACTTTAAATAGCGACGTTAAAGAAAAATAAAAAACCTATTTAAACATTTTTATTTATTTATCCTGATAACTAGATAATTTAAAACGTTAATATCACGTACCATAAAGTTGTTTTGTGACAGCCAAATAGCTTTTTGATCAGCGTCGTTTTCTCTCTAGACTAATCTGTCTTATCATCAGGTCAAATCAAAAAAACTGAGTAAAAATTATTCAGAAAGTTTAAAAATAGTACCTTAACGTTTCGATTTTCATAACTATAAAAGTAAAAAATACCACCATTACTTTATAAAATATCTTTGCTGTATATTATTATTGTTCTATTTACAGAACAAAACATTTTAATCTGAACTTTCCATCTGATCTTAAACATTACTTAAACACCAAATATACGCTGAGAGAAAAAAAAACTATGGTCAAGACTAACAGAATATGACAAAATTTGTAGTGCTTCTGGCTTTATGGGAATACCAAAGAGCAGGGTAATTTTTACCTTAGCACTTTGATAATGATTTTGGTAAAATTAACAATGAACTGTTGTTTTTGTAATGTGTGTTAAAATTTTGTAAACGTGGAAAAATTTGGTAATTTTACCATGCTACCTACCTAATCATTTATTCGTCTTTTTTTTCCTTACAAAATACGTGGTAATAAGAACTGTAATTACGAAAACTATACTTTCTGTAAACTGTAACTATGTGAACGGAAAAATTACCGAACAAATGGTTTAAATACAATATATTTTGGTTTTATTAACAAGAATTTCAGGGTTTTTTCTTACCAGGTATGTCATTACCTCACAGTACCGTATTTTAATCAGAATTTTTTTTCTCCATGTACAAAATTAAAACTATTCTCTAAATAAGGCAATATAAAAGAATTAATAAAAAGTAATAAATTACAGATAATGAAAATTTAAAGCATTTTCACTTTTGCAACTAGAGTTTTCACAATCAGTAGTTTTCAACAGCAAAGAATCAAATAAAAAAAAATTACAAAATCAGAAAAAATCATATCAACTATAGCCAAATACTTAAGTCTCGTAATAAAGGAAGTCGTTAAAAGTCATTAATTTGTTTTCGTAAGAAGATTTTCCTTTTATTAATTTTTCCTGTTCAATTTAATTTCCTAAT